GGACAGGCAAAAAAAAAAAAAAGCTACTGACCATCATCTAGTAATATACAGTTGTATTAACAGCACCACAATACTGACCATCATCTAGGAATATACAGTTGTATTAACAGCACCACAATTTTTCCACCTGCAATATGCATCTCACTCAACCTTTTAAAAACCTTCTCCCCCCCCCTTCCGAATAAACCCTGTTGCTGACCACTACAAAGTAAAGCAGGGTCTGCCAACATCCAACCACGTTCGGATCCTGTTGAACAGTAATTTCCACCCCTTCTCAGTGGCGATTAGTGGACGGTACAATCTAAGATGTGGAGGATCAGAAATAGCTCACTCTTGCTCTGGGGCCTTGTAGGAATGAAACCACAGTGGCTGCTGGAGTGCTATTGTCTTCTGCCACCAGATAAGTCCACAACCCATGAATTCTCCTTCACACTTACAGCCAGTGAGTGACCCTGGCACATGCCTACAATATGGCTAGAAAGCAACTCACGAGAAAATCTGTGAACTTGACTTATGGTCCTAATTTACATGTTGTTCCTTGGTCCCAGTTTCAGGTTTGTAGGCAGAAACATCAGCTATTTCAGCAAATCTTCATAACTGGAACTCTGTATTTATATATTCTCTCAATTCTTGTTGGGAAATAAGAACTGAGACCAGTAGGACAGTGAACTATCTGTGAACTGGGGGCTTCACTGTTTCAAGTAAAGCTAGGGTTTTAGTCCTAGCTAAATCTGCACAGAAACTGGTCTAGACTCCAATGTCTAGCAAGCAGTACAAAGTGGGACAGACTAACACATACTGCTGCCTGTAAACTCAATCTCCGTATCCTGAAATGCTAATGGAACTGAGGAATAAGGACTAAAGCACAATTACTTGCCCTTATTGCATCCTTCTGAGAAGCTCTTGCATTATCCACATGGGGTGACAGGGAAACCAACTATCTGCTTCACACATTGAATCCATGAACACATGAAGTCATCTTACACAGAGTTAGATCAGTGCTCCCACCAGGCCAGTATTATCTAACCTGATAAGTAACTTTCTTCAAGGTCCCAGGCGGAGGGTCTTTTCTTCCCCAACATGAGAATTAAGAGAATATACGTACTTCTTCCTCTGTGGATGTAATTTTCCAAAGAAACACAAATGCATACATTTCAGCCATATCAGGCATGCCCAAGAACTGGCCGCATCAGAAACCTAATGTGGCCAGGTGCCCTAAACCTAGTACATGAACACTAACAAAGCAAAGAGATCTAAATAGCACAGAGAAATTATTCAAGCAATAGGAATTAACAACAACGTCTTAGATCTGTGGAGCTGGAAGAGACCCTGTGGCTCATCAAGTCCAGCTTCTGTCAAGGAGGCCAACAATGTCTTAGATCATCAAGTCCACCTTCTGTCAAGGAGGCCCACTGGTGGAAATCAAACTCCCAACCTCTGGCTCCACAGCCAGATGCCTAAACCACTCAGCTAAATATCACTATGGCGATAGAAGAGCCATTGGTGGAATCAAACTCCCAACCTCTGGCTCCACAGCCAAATGTCTAAACCACTCAGCTAAATATCACTATGGCGATAGAAGAGAACACCCAAAACTATTAAGGCTTTGAAAGTCATGGCTCCGTACAGTTTCCTGTTACTGATGAGCTGACTGACTGATCCAACACCCAACTTTCATCCCAGCTCACAACAGACATGGCTATCTGTCCAAGCTCCGTGACAAGACCCCCTGTCCTCCATGCCTGAGACCCTACAGTTAATCTTTAGCAGACACACACAAAGCAAGGGTGGAAAGGGCCTTTGAGCTTTTCTCTCAAGGCTCAGCAATCTGACAACTATAAGGCAACTGCTTGCAATTTTGTGACATTTTCATAAATCTTATAAGAGCAGAATAAAGAAGAAACCATACACACCGTCTACTTAGGAGTTGAACACAACCAAGGACTGCATCTGCAAACATGATTCATGTTTCCACATAGCAGTATTAATTCTGAATATTTCTACGCCACCAAAAAGCAAAAAGGAAGAAACTGGACAGTAAACCTAACTGCTGTTCTTCTTTACTGTTAAGTTATAGCGACCCTGATATGGCCTTCAAGGTAAGTGAGACCTTTAAGGAGTGGTTTTACCAGTTCCACTCCCCCAGTTTCCATGGCTGAGCTGAGATTCAAGCCCTGTTCTCCAGAGTCCTCATCCCATCACTCCACACTGGGAATCAAAACTAATTAAGACTAGGTAATTATCCTGTGTCATTAGAGTCACATCTATGCCAGCACCCTCCAGAGCTCCTCAGCATGCAGGTCAAGATGCAGCGCAAACCCCCGCCCATCCATGCAGAAGGTAGCAATGCGCTGACATGCCTCCAAAAACAGCCACACCTCCTCTCAAAAAAAAAATCCATGTTGTCGTACAGCTGACTCTGGAAGGCAGTGAAAAGACAAGACAGCACCCCAAAGAAAGCGATGGGAAAGATTTGACTGGGGTGGGTGGGAGAATATACTCATCAAACCCAGAGATATTGGCCTCAGCCCCCTTTCCTCGTCCAGAAAAACGACACCCTGGAAGACATCTCTCTGCCTGTGAGACGACGGGCTGAAGGAGGAGGCGTCCACTCCCCGCTTTGCAAAATCCTACTAGAAGGGCCTTTCCCTAAAGCTCCCCCCCTCACCCACCTTATATTCACAGCTCTGGGCCCCTGGGGCAATTTGCAATCCCACAGGACTTCCTAAAAGAAGGGTTATTAATTCTGACTGTTATTGGCTTCCCTTTATATTATTATGATGCTATTACATTAATAATATAATTATTTGCTCTTGCTGTACAGCGCCCAGGGTGGCCTCCGGCCAGGTGGTACGGTATAAAATGGAAATAAAATAAAGCCAACAAACCGGGGTGGGGGTGGGGGGAGAAACCCAAGGCTTTTGAAATTCGGGGCCTCCCCCGGGGGGGAGGCTTTTTGAAGGACAGCTTCTGCCCATTTCAGGGAACCCCTTTGCTTTGGGTGCCCTTAATGAAGGAATTAATTAATGACTCCCCCCCCCAAACAGACTCACCCACCCACTTTATACTCAAATCTCCTCGACCTCAGAGGCGGCCTGGGGGGAATTGGGGGGGACGGCGACGACGACGAGAAGAAGGCGGCGGCCCTGCTCCTGTCGGGTCAGCCCAAAGCCTCAGGGAGGGGTCCGGGACCCCCCCTTCTAAAAAGGGGTCCCGAGGAGGGAGAAACGAGGGGGCGGGAGGTGGGAGCGGGTGGAGGCCGCGAGCGAGCGAGGGAGCCCCCCCTCCCCGTCCCCCGCGCTTTCCCTCAGGGAAGGGGCCTCGCGGTGTGAGGACGACGACGACGACCCCCACCCACCCAAGGGACCCACCCAAGGGAAGGGGGAGAGGCCTGGAGGAACCGAGGGAGGGAGGGAGGCGAGGCCCGGCTCCCTTCCTCCAGTCTCAGACCTCGCCGGGAAGGCCAGGCCGGGGCCGCGGGGGCTCCGGGTGTGGTGCCGGGAGGGTCTCGGCCTGAGGGGAAAAGGGGCTCCCGGGGACGAGAGAAGGGAAAGGAAGGCCTCACGCAGGCCGCGTCGGCGCCTCACCCATGACTGACAGTCGGTCGGTCGGTCGGCCACTCCCGCCTGCCCGCCGGCTGGGTGACTGGCTCCCCTCGCCGGCCCGCTC